CAGTTGTCTTGACCATGTTTCTCACTGGCACACCGTAACTGGTAGACGGTAAAACGTGTGGGCGATTGAGAGAACAGGCGATTTGCTATTCGGTAATTACTTTACCTGCCCAGTCATTGACATCAGATAGCTGCAATATCCGTCAACCTGGACGGATGAATAAATGTGAAGGGCGGAACTCAGGTCGCTGTTAGCTTTATTGTCACCCCCATCAAAGGTATCCGGTGTCCACCGGAAAAATGATTTGGCAGTCAGAGAGGAAATGGCAAGAATATAATGGTGTGAATGGATGTCGGATTTGAACGCGATCATGCAACGAGTACTAAACTGAGATCTATTTTTGTCTAACATTATATCAATATATTGGATTATTTTCAACCGCGGATTAATCAGTTATAATAATAATATATGACCTTAGTTGTTTTTCGTAAATTCTATTTTAACCCACTTCCTCCTAGAATCAGCTTAAACTGACGTTATCTTTCTTCCTTATATCTAAACGATAATTACCATATAATAATTGGGTTTGTCCATACCTTCGTTAGTTCCTTAGATTGCACAACCGTTACGCCCTGACAATACTTAATAAATAATGGACTATTCCGTTGTAATTGCGCGTAAAGAGAAAATATATATCAGAGGCTACTTGCTTTCAGTGAAATAAATAAATAAATAAATAAAGAAAGAAAGAAAGAAAGAAAGAAAGAAAGAAAGAAAGAAGGAAAGAAAGAAAAGAAAGATGATACAAGTGTGTAATGTTTCCTGCTAATACCTTATAAATAATGGACTATTCCATTTTGATCGGGTGGAAAGTTAAAAATACGTTTGAGACGCTACTCGGTTTCAGTGAAAGAAAGAAAGAAAGAAAGAAAGAAAGAAAGAAAGAAAGAAAGAAAGAAAGAAATATTTAATGTCTCTCGCTAATACCTTATAAATAATGAAGTATTCCGATCTGGTCGCGTGGAAAGATAAAAACATATTTGAGACGCTACTCGGTTTCAGTGAAAGAAAGAAAGAAAGAAAAGAAAGAAAAGAAAAGAAAAGAAAAGAAAGATAGATGCGAGTGTTTAATGTCTCCTAATATCTTATAAATAATGGACAATTCCGCTCTGATTGCGTGGAAAGATAAAAACATATCTGAGACGCTACTCAGTTTCAAAGAAAGAAAAAGAAAGAAAGAAAGAAAGAAAGAAAGAAAGAAAGAAGGACATATTTGAGACGCTACTCGATTTTAGTGAAAGAAATAAAGAAAGAATGAAAGAAAGAAAGAAAGAAAGAAAGAAAGAAAGAAAGAAAGAAAGAAAGAAAGAAAGAAAGAAAGAAAAGAAAAGAAACATAGATACAAGTGTTTAATGTCTCCTGCTAATACCTTATAAATAATGGACAATTCCACTCTGATTGCGTGGAAGGATAACATATTTGATCGCGTGAGGAGACAAAAGATGATACTTGGTTTCTGTGAATGAAAGAAAGAAAGAAAGAAAGAAAGAAGTGTTTAATGTCTCCCGCTAATACCTTATAAATAATAAACTATTCCGTTTTGATCATGTGGAAAGACAAATGACATATCAAAGACGCTACTTGATTTCAGTGAAAATAGAAAGAAAGAAACATAGAAGTGTTTAATATTTCCTATCAATACCTCGTAAGCAATGGACTATTTGATCGCATGATAAGACAAAAGATTTGGTTTCAGTGGGAAAAAAACGAAAGAAAGAAGAGAGGATAAAAGTGTTTAATTTGTTTCAATGAAATAAAAAGAGTTATCAATTTCAAATCTTTTCATTTGTACCCCCTTACTTCTTAAAATAACGACCAGCATTCATATTTATCATTGTTATTGCAATATTTTGTTAAGTTGTTAAGCTGAAATAGAGTGGATATGTTATTGTCTTAGAACTCGCCATGAGCTTACCCACTCATTGACTGAAGAATCAGAATTTATCATAAATTTCAAATAGAAAAACCGTTACATTTTCATGAGTTAAAACTAGTAAATTATAATTTGGGAAAGTGAATATTTCACTGAAACCTGATTTAAAATTTCCTAGTTTATATGTAAAATCAAGAAGATACTAACTTTAATTAAAATGCTCACTATATATGGAAAAAGAATATACCAGTTAACGACTATGCTGCTGCAATCAGTTTAAACTAACGCCTTATTCTTCCATATGTCTAACCTATAATTATAAACAGTAGTTTAGGTAATTGAAAATTCCATTGAAATATACTGGATCAAGAAATGGCTTGTAAATTAAAACATCTTGAAATCAAAACTGTTATATGTATTCATCATAGATAACTATTTTTAGATTCCATCTGTATGGCTGATGCTAGCCTCCAGGAGAACACATCATTGTGCCTTCTTGTGCGTTTTCCATTAATACGAAATGGAGTTATTATATGGAATCAATTGCTAAGTCTGCTACTAGGAAAATTGATTCACTGTGTCTTGTCAGACAATTTTTCTTACCAGAATCCATCTTGTTCATTTAGAAATCTTCCATTCGTTTGTGCATTGGTTATTACGACCATATTTGGTCTGGTACTCCGGCTATATATTTAGAAACACTCGACAAAATCCAAATAACGGTTTCCCATTGAGTGACAGGACTTTCATTTGTCTTTTATATAAATAAGTTCATGGCAGTTATTTTATTGAGATCTCCTCCTTGGTAACTTGACTATATGAATTTAAGCCTACTACTAGATTGACAATTAGGTTTCATCGTTTTATTATTGAACTAGCAAGATATAACCGTAACTTCTGTTCTAATAGTTTTTTTCTCACGTATTTCTCTTTTGGTTTCTTGCTTCGCTGTTATCCACGATCTTCAAAAACTTAAACGCAACATCAATCGCTATCTTCTGTCTTCCTGAAACCTGTGATTTTATTGTCCTTTCTCTTCACTAAAATATTTTCATTCTCTTTCACTCCCCGTAACTCCTTGCGTCTTATTGGCATTATCGCCATTTTCTGTCATCCTGAAACCTGTTCTTTTGTTGATCTTTCTCCTCAATAAAGTCTTCTCATTCTCTTTCATTCCCAGTAACCATTTGCGTATTATTGACATTATCGCCATTTTCTATCTTCCTGAAACCTGTTCTTTTATTCTTTCTCTTCACTAAAACCTTCTCATTCTTTTTCACTTCCAGCAACCCCTTTCATCTTACTGACACTATCGCCTTGCTTTTGGGGAAATGATTAAAAAAAAGAAAGAATATGAACGTATAAGTTTAAAGTAAGCGAGAATAACAAGAAGACCGTAATATTAGGGTCGGCTAAAAAATTCATAGGCTGACCAAGATACTCCCATCTTATGCGACGATATGAGGTTTATTTTTTAAAATAGACAATCTTGTGGTCTATACATTTCTTGCATCGTTGTTGCTGTGTTTGAATCCCACTGGAGAAAAAGCTTTCATCTTGTTGGTCAAAATAGTCAGCAATAGCAGACTTTTTTATCACTGCGATACAAGTTCCCAGCCAATTTTTCATGTTTGTGAATAGATGATATACAAATGGGCCCAAATCAGCAGAATGCGTAGGACGCTAAAGCCATGATCAGCAGCCATTGAAACCAAGAACTTGTGTGTTGGAGCATTGTCCTAATGAAACAAGTCAGATTTCGTCAGTTTTACTAGAAGTTTGTTCTTGATAGCCTTTCGTTCCATCCTTAGCAAGTTGGCACATTACTCTCCATTGATGGTATGGCACTTTTGAAGGTAGTCAATAAACACCATGCCTTTTTCATCACCAAAAACTGAGGTCCTCACCATTCTTCATATGTAACGAACAGGATTCAAAGTATAAGTTGGTAGGAAGATCAAGCTTGTTCGATTAGCGTCGCGGAGACGGCAATTTGCGCCTCGCGGCGGCTTGACCTACTTTGGAACAGGTGAGGGGATGTTTCCACTACATAGATTGTCCCTTTGTCTCTGGCTCAAAGCGATGAAAGCAACACGCATCCTGGGTTAAGAAACGTTCAAGGAAACCAGCTAGATCACCCTCAAACAATGTCAGATTTCCCCATGATGTGGTCACCCAAGTGCGCTTTTGATCAGGTGTCAGAAAGCTTGGTACCCACTGAGCAGAAACCATAGTCATTCCAAGTTCACTGTGCCGAATATTCTCAACTATCTCAAGGGATATTGGATTTATTCAATCACATCTCATCCATCACCATGTAGTGAAAACAATCAGTTTTCCTTGGCGATGGAAATCGCGGGACCTCCAGAACTTTTGTAATCTTCAAGAGTCATTCCTCCCTGCATAAATTCAACTAAGGCCTTTTTCTGCAGGTACTTGACAATACCACGATACCAAATATTTCTCCGTTTTCAAGAGAGTCAGCCTATGAACTTTTCATCCCACCCTGGTACCAGGAAAGAAACAATGCAGTTATTAATAAGAAGAGTTGAAATGAATGTGATTTCACAGCTCCAGCATCACTCCTTCATAATCAGCCTATGAACTTTTCAGCCCATATTCATACCTGGAAAGAAACAATGCACTTATTAATAAGGAGAGTTGAAATGAATGCATGTAAGATTTCACAGTTCTAGCATCACTCGTTCAAAATCAGCCTATGAACTTTTCAGCCGACGCTTGTATGCGTGCTAGTTTATAAGAAACAGAATGTCTTGGCTTTTATAAGTAAAACTATAACTCCAGTAAGTGTTAAAGCTGCCTCTTGATTTTACGGTATGTGCAGCGAGGAGACGGAAAGCTGCCGGTTGCAAATAATGAAAAATAAAGCCAAATTAGATTACATTTTATCTAAGAATTCAATGTGATGGGTGTTGGTCTCATCTTTACAATTCACTTACATTATCTGAATTTTTTAGTTAAAAGTCGTGGAAAAACATCGACTAGAGAAAAGGAGATTTAATATTGTACATATTTGAAAGTTAAAACAGATGCCGGGTAATTGAGCCAAGGAGTTTAGTTATAAAGACAATGGTTTTCGATTGAGAACTGATAAAAAGAATGTTCTATGAAAAAGCTGTCGAAAAATGACTTAAGTGAGTCGGTTAAAATTATCACCATTAAAATTATCACCATTAAAATTATCACCATTTTTTGTTTACAATGAAACATGTCAAAATGAATACAAAAGGAAACCAAATCTACTCTGAACATAGTCGCCTTCTTTCTTAATCCTGGCGCGAAGGTCAATTAAAATGTAATGATTCTTCTTTTATTGCTACACTATATTAGTAATAAAGCATACCAAAACGAACAGAAAAATCTATCTATCTATCTATCTATCTATCTATCTATCTATCTATCTATCTATCTGTGTCTTCATCTCCCTCTCGCCTTATCTATCTATCTATTTATCTATCTATCTCTTCATCCCTCTGTCTCTATTTAAATGCATATCTCTTCAAACATATATCTATCTATATATCTATCTATCTATCTATCTATCTATCTATCTATCTATCTATCTATCTATCTATCTTTTTCGGTATTTGTTTTGTTATTTTCTTTGCTCTCTAATTTCTCACATGTTCTGCCTTTTTTTCTTTCATCCTTTTCCATTTCTTTCTTTTCCAATTTTTTCTTTTTTCCTTTTGTTTGCCTTTTCTTTTTTCGTTTCTTTCTTTTTCACATTTTCTTTTTTATTGTCTTTTCTTTCTTTTTTCTTTTCTTTTCTTTCCTTTCTTTTTGAGTTTCTTACTTTTTTCACTTTAACGCATCTTTTTTTCTCATTTCCTCCGAAGATTTAAGTTTTTTTTTCATACATTCTTTTCTCCAATTTCTTATCCTTTCTTTCTCTTTTCTTTCTTTTCTTTTCAGTCTCTTTTCTTTCTTTCAATTTTCTTTACAGTTTTTTCTTTTTCTTTTCTTTCTTTCTGTTACTTTTCTTTTCGATTCTTTTTTTAACTTATTGCAACAATGAACATATTTTAGCTTCTCATTTTTCTTTTTCTCCATTTCTCACCTTTTTCTTTTCTTTCTTTTTCTTTTCTTTCTTCTTGTCTTTCTTTTCTTTCTTTTTACTTTAGTTTTTATTTACCTACTTTTTATTTATTCTTTCTCTTTTATTATTTCTTTTTTCTTTACTTTTTACAAACTAATCGAACAATTAACAATTTTTTCATCTTATTTTCATCTCTCTTTAATTTCCAACGATTTCTCTTTTCTCTTTTTCTTTTTTCCTATTTCTTTTTTTTTTATTCTCTTCTTCCTTTTTCTTTATTTTTAATTTATTTATTTCCCTTTTCTATCTCTTTTCTTTATTTTTTTTGTTTTCGTTCTTTCTTTGGTTTTCTTTTCTTTCTTTCCAACATAATACATCAATTAATAACTTTTCACCTTTTTTCTTTTCCCCCCTCTCTCTCTCTAACTACTCAACGTTTCTTTCGTTCTAAGCAATTCCGACCAATTTCTTTCTTTCACTTCTTCCCTATTTTAGTCCGCCTCCAATTCTCTTCCATTCTTTCTTGGCTTGATTTCATACCCTCTTCTATTTCAACCCAATTTTCTTTCATTAAATTCACTTCATCTTTCCATTACTGGTTTCCTTTGCCTTTGACATCATAAAAAAGGCCTTTACATAAGCTTTCCTTTGACAGAAGGTGTCAACGTATTCAATTACTGGTTGTCACTGTTTAACTCTTTGCTGCTTTCATCATTTAAACGATTGTTTCCACTGTTACGCACTCCTTTTCATTTATTTTACTCCTTTTTAGCTTTATTTATTTATCGTTAGAAGCCACTCATCTGGACTTTTTCCAAAGCACCATTATATTTTCTCCCAATTATACAAAATGTAAAATGGCGGCTCCGTCTTGTCGTTTGCGCATGGCTGATGATGGCGTAATTTTCCGTGAAATGTGTTATTGAAAATCTCATTCATGCTGATAAAGTTTGCATTTTTTGGTGCTTGGAAAAAAAGATAAGCAAAATGTAAAGCTATATTTGTGAACAGTGTAAAACCAAACATACCGGAAGAGGAGATGAAAAGAAGAAAAGGGCTTCTAGCAAAAGCTGGGATTAAAAGAGTTAGAAAATATGGTTAGGGTTAGCAGGGGTCGAAGATAAATTTACTTCGGAAGGTAATTCGGGGGTAAAGGGTAAATAAATGAGAGAAAACGAATCCCAGCTAAATGGTAGCTTCCTTTTCTTTGGTAGGATTTTGCGAAAATTCAGGCTGGTAGACAAAAATAAATAAATATACAGTTTAATAAATAAATGGGACATCTACTTAAATGCGCGTATCCACTAAAATAACGTTTAAAGTGATAAAAAAAATCTGTCGGATAATTAAAAAATCCATTCGAAAATTCTCTTTGTTTACCGTTGACTACCAAACTGTGCAGATATGAAAAAACTTTGAGAGATCTAAGTCCAGGAGAAGTTTCGCTTGAAAACACGAAATTTGGCCTCACCTGACTGATTGTTCTTCGTGGTCAAGTCGGTTAAGACGTGCCGTGTGAAACGGTAGCAGCAACTGCCCTGTGAGTTTCTATTCCTGATGGAGAGCGCAAATTTTTCTTAATAAAATTTCTCGAACATTCAGCCCGGTAGACGAAAAAGCCAAAAAAAAAAAAAAAAAACAAAGAAAAAAATACATAGTTGGAACTTCTGATATGTCGATAGCGTAGTATGAATTTGGCTGTGGTTATTCTAGTACTCCTCCCTAATAAATATAGCAAATTTCAAATCGAAATTAAGATCACTCTTATTACGATGAAAGATGAATGTGCTATGTATACTGTTTTATGAAAAAAAATCCATTTTCTGTTCATATAATGTTTTATCTAAATCTAGATGCTTCACTTACGTATTTTTCAAAATTATTTCACCCCCAAGTAAGATCAAATTTAACAGGGGAGCAGGAAACCAGAAGTGAATACCACAAGCGAGAAGCACGAAAAAAAACTTTATTTCATTTACAATCTCTTTTGTAAATCTCTGTTTCAGATTTAATGTTTTCATTATTTTATCCTGTGTTCATTAAATCTCTTCATAATATCTGGATGGATGGAACTAAAGAATGGAGCACATCTGAACATTTGCTATGGAAAGAGCGACAGAATGGTGAGAAGGCTTGCGATGTTTCGTCTGTGAGAAAATGGTTGAAAATAAATATGTCCCTTATTCTGAAGTCTATCAAAGGAGGATTAGGTAGCTCCTGCCCGGATACGGCAGCAATATTCAATTTCGGATCTAATCAGACTCTTGTTAAGACAAAACATGGCAGAAAGAGTCATTTATTTTCTGGATGAAATAGATAGATAGATAGATAGATAGATAGATAGATAGATAGATAGATAGTAATTTTTAATAAGTTTTTAGTCCAACATTATTTATTATTACTATAAACGTTATTTTTAGTTGCTATCCTCGTTTTAATTTTATTTTCTTAAACCGTGAAATTAATGTCAATCGGCTTAGATCGAGAAGTCTTTTTATTATAATGTAAAATGTGCCTCCAACAGAAATCGAAACTTTATTTCCATTTTGCCTTAGGGAAATGACTCCTGTAGCCGAAGCTACAGATAAATAAATAAAAAAAGTGTGAGAGAGATGCAAAGATTTAAAATGATAGATAGATAATGAACAGCCTGAGATAGATAGATAGCTTATGAGTAGATTAAGATATATATATATATATATGTGTGTGTAGATAGATAGATAGATAGATAGATAGATAGATAGATAGATAGAGTTTAGTTCGATAAACTCTGTAAGATGAAATTCTCTCAGTACATAAGTGCTCAGCACAAAACGTGTAAAAAAATAGCGGCTCTCGTTTCATTGAAAGACCAAATAGATTTTGAGAAAATGATAAGATCATAAAACTTCGTGCAGTCCTGACTCGATGTGTGTTTCGCTGTTCACCCAAAATTTGTCAGATCTCAAATCCCAAATCTTTATGTCAATCTTGATTAAGTAGCCTAAGATGGAAACATGGCGACTTCAGCAGCCATTGAACTGAATTTTGTTTCTTAAGCAGCAAGCAAATGAAAGATCAAGAAGTTAGATAAAAAAAAAATGTGGCTTGCATATATGTATATCCATATACCTATTTAATGTTTTAACGCACTGTTATGGAATGTGTTGTGTTTAATTTAATTTTTCATTTAAGAATTTAATTTTTCTTGATGTGAAAAACTGGAACTACTGCATTAATAAACGTTTCCATTCTAAATACAAAATCTAAACGGGAAGTTTTTTTTTTATATTAATTTTATTTTCTTAAACAATGAAATTAATGTCAATCGGCTTAGATGAAGAAGTCTTTTTTAATGAAAAATGTACCTCGAACAGAAATCGAACGTTTATTTCCATTTTGCCTTAGGGAAACGACTCCTGTAGCCGAAGCTACGGGTGAAAAAAAAGAAAGAAAAGAAAGTGTGAAAGAAATGCAAAGATTTAAAATGATAGATAGATAGATAAATAGAAGGAGATAGATAGATAGATAGATAGATAGATAGATAGATAGATATGAATAGATAGATAGATAGATAGATAGATAGATAGATAGATAGATGATAATGAATGAACAGCCTGGGATAGATAGATAGATAGATAGATAGATAGATAGATAGATAGATAGATAGATATGAACAGCTTGGGATAGATAGATAGATAGATAGATAGATAGATAGATAGATAGATAGATATGAACAGCCTGAGATAGATAGATAGATAGATAGATAGATAGATAGATAGATAGATAGATAGTGAATGTTTACAAGACCAATGAACCAGTCAAAGTAGAGAGTTATACGAGCGTAAGAAAAGTCAAGAATTAAAGTTTATAAGATTATGCAGAAAAGATTAGGGTTTAACCTAGTCTTGAAAAGGTCAAGGTTGTAGTGATTAGGAAAGCATCCTGTTGGTAGACTGTTCCATAAACCAGCAGTCCTTGGAAAGAAGATTCCGAATGGCACTTCCTGTTTATTATTGGAATACAAAGGGAATGAGGATGATTCATCCTTGTGTATGTGGCATGGCGAGTCCCAGCTGCAAATATCAGTACTGGTGGGACAAAGGAATGTAACTCGTCAGAACACGTGCCACGGAAATACCAATAGAGCAGCGAAAGGCTTGCGATGTTTCGTCTATGGGGACGTGGTGGTACAGTGTAAAATAATTAACACCCTCAAAACCGCGTACACGCTTTTGAACTCTATCAAGACAGTCATATGAGAACTTGGCGGCTCCAGCACAGATATACAGCAATACTTCATTTTGGTCTGCTCTAGCTCTTGTACAGCTAAAGTATAGCAAGGGTTAGTCAGATAGTTACTGGAGTTGTACGATGAACACACTACTTTAGCAATAGCTTTCCACTTGAGGTCTGGAGAGAGATTTAATCCCAATAGACGTTCAAGGCAAAGAGTCGCCTTGAGAGAAGGCTCATCTATAATTATAGTGTTATGAGACCTTACCCATAATAACATAATGGACTATTCCATAAGTAATAAATACTGCGCCTCAAGAGGAAGCAGGATGTTCAGCCTGAAGTCGGGCGACCGGCTGATCGGTTGAACTCTCCGCCTTCGGGCGGGGAGGAACCCGAACGAGGCTACGCCGAAGGGCGGAGTCTCTTTCGGCGAGGTAAACCGACCCTGAACCCGTTTATACGGGTTCAAAGGGCATATTTTTGGCCGAGCCAACGGGCTCGGAGATCCCACGTTAAACCGGTCTTGTGCCACATGATGCCCTGGGGGGGTGACTAAATATCGTTCAGTCCGAAGTCGGGCGACCGGCTGACAGGCTGACCGGCTGACTGGCTGATCGGTTGAACTCTCTGCCTTCGGGCGGGGAGGAACCCGAACGAGGCTACGCCGAAGGGCGGAGTCTCTTTCGGGGAGGTAAACCGACCCTGAACCCGTTTATATGGGTTCAATGGGCATAATTTTGGCCGAGCCCACGGGCTCCGAGATCCCACGTTAAACCGGCCTTGTGCCACATGACGTCTTCGTGGGGGGGTGACTGAATATCGTTCAGTCTGAAGTCTGGAGTGAGGTCCGTCAGAACTGGACCATAA